AGCAACCTCAAATTCCTATGCTCAAGCGATTCTCTTGCCTCAGCCTCCTGAGTATCTGGGACTATAAGTGCCCACAACAACGCCCACCTGTTGTTAGAGACAGTGTCTCACTCTGGCTCAGGCTGGTTTTGAAGCTGTGAACTCAGGCAATCTGCCTGCCTCAGCCTCCCAGAGTTTTGGGATTACGGGCATGAACCACCTCGACTGGCCTGTATTCTTGTATAAATACATGTGCACATAAAATTATTCTGCAATTATATATCCCAATTCATTATTTCGCTAAAGAATAGGATTAAAGGCACCCTTTCTGGTAAATAATATCTATATTTTTAAAATATAAACTTATTTTATTATATGTATTAAAGAAAAAAAAAAAGAGGTCCTTTACAGACACCCTGAGGTGGGAAAACTTACAAAACTTAGTCAAGAAGCAAGCAGTATACTCAACTGGAAAATGTGTCAAAAAGAAACATGAAATCCTTCTGGAGCAACTGGTATTTGCCTCTGTTCTGTGGCACTGTTCACTCTATGAGGTAAAAAATGAGCATTTACGTTCTAAGCAGATCACTCATGACCTCTCCGGTGGGATCAAAGTGTTACCAAGCCTCAGAATGTACAAATTGTTAAGACCATACTCAGAATTCCTAAAGGAAGAAAGGGAAGTTATGTGGAGCGTGGAAGAAGAAGAACTGGAGACAGGCTGCCAAGAAGGGGAGTAACCAGGTGCCCAAAGGAAAGGCAGGAGAAAACCACCACTACTGGCAGACGACAGGATTTTACATACGGGAGACCTGAAGAAGCCACACACAGAATCATTCAAGCAAAGAAGGAATTTCAGCAAAGTTACACCATAGAAAATCAATAGGCAAAATCAGTTGTACTTTCATACACTAGCAATGGAAAACAAAGAAAAAGGATATTAAGGAAACAATTTCAGGCCAGCACAGTGGCTCACACCTGTAATCCTAGCTCTCTGGGAGTTTGAGGAAGTGAATTGCTTGAGCTCAGGAGTGACCAGCCAAGCAAGAGCAAGATTCTGTCTCTACCAAAAGTAGAAAAACTAGCAGACATTGTGGCAGGTGCCTGTAGTCTCAGCTACTTGGGAGGCTGAGGCTAGAGGATTGCTTGAACCCAAGAGTTTGAGGTTGCTGTGGGCTATGACACCATGCAGTCTACAGAGGGCAACAGAGTAAGACTCTAACTAAAAACCAAATAAAAAATAAAAATAAGGAAACAATTTCATTTACAACAGCAAAGAAAGAATAAAATACTTAGGAACAAATTTAACCAAGAAAGTTGTACATTGTACACTGTTAACCATTGATGAAAGCAGTTAAAGAAAATATAAAGAAATAGAAAAGTATCTCATGTTCATGGATTGGAAAACTTAGTATTGTTAAGATCTCAATGCTACAAAAAGTGATCTGTAGATTCAACACAATGTCTATCAAAGTCTAGTTTTTAAATTCACATGGAATTGCAAGGGATCCTGAACAGTCAAAACAATCTTGGGAAAATAAATAAATATATAAAGTTAGAGGACTCACACTTCCTGATTTCAAAATTTATTACAAAGTGACAGTAATCAAAATAGTGTAGCCCTGGTAGAAAGTAAACATAGAAAAACAGAATAAAATTGAGAGTCCAGTAATAAACCCCCATATATCATATTAATTGGATATAAGAGCCCCCAGAGCATGTAATGGTGCTGGGATAACCACATTGCATATGCAAAAAAATGAAACTGGACTCTTACCTTATACCATATATAAAAATTAACTTCAAATGAATCAAAGACCTGAATATAAGAGCTAAAAATATAAAACTTTTGCATGAAAACATACAGTATCTGTATATTTACCTTGGATTTGACAATGGTTTCTTATATACTACACCAAGTGCATAAGCAACAATAAAATTAAAAAACAGATTAAATTGGACTTCATCAAAAAAAAGAACTTTGGGCATCAAAGGACACCATGGAAAGGTGATAAAATACCCACAAATGGCCTAAAATATTTGTAAATCATATAACTGATAATGGTCTAGCACCCAGAACATACATATGTTGTGTGTGTCCTCGCTCTGCCCTCAGCTCTCAGGCAGAGCTCTCAAATGCCACTAAGGAAAGTGCCCACGGGGTCAGAGCAGACCACAGGCAGCTTTGCCCTGTGTGAGAGAGGGTGCTCAGCTGAGGTAAAGCCCTGTTTATTCAAGCGAGAGTAGTAATTCCAGCAATTTGGGAGGCCAAGGAAGGAGGATCACTTGAGGCCAAGAGTTCTAAACCAGTCTGGGCAACATAGGAAGACCTTGTCTCTAGAAAAAAAATTTAAAAACTTAGCTATGCATGATGGCATGTACCTACAGTCCCAGCTACTTGGAAGGCTGAGGCAGGAGGACCATTTGAAGCCAGGAGTTCAAGGCTGCAATGAGTTATGATCTGCCACTGCACTCCAGCCTGTAGAGTGAGATACTATCTCTAAAATAATAATAAAAAGTTAGTTTTTTCTTGAGACAGAGTCTCACTCTGTTGCCCTAGGGTTGAATGCCACGGCATCATCACAGCTCACAGAGAATTCAAACGTTTGTGTTCAAGAGATTCTCTTGCCTCAACCTCCAGGGGAGCTGGACTACAGGTGCCCCCTACAATGCCCGGCTAATTTTACTATATTTGTTAGTAGAAATGGGGTCTTGCTTTTGCTCAAGCTGCTCTCAAACTAGTAAGCTCAAGCAATCCACTCGTCCTGGCCTCCCAGAGAGCTAAGAATACATGTGTGAGGCCCATAATTCCAGCTACTTGGGAGGATGAGGCAAGAGAATAACTTAAGTCCACGTGTTTGAGGTGGCTGTGAACTATGATGCCATGGTACTCTACTGAGGTGACATAGCGAGACACTGTCTAAAGAAAAAGAAAAAAGAAAAAAAGACTACAGGTGTGAATCAATGAGCCCAGCCTAATAGAGTACATTTTAAAAATAAAGTGAGATTGAAAGGACAATAAAAGTCACTGGAAATTCACACTGCATCATCAAAGACAAAGCAATGCTGACAAACACAGGTGGCAAGAACCTGTTTCTACATGATAATGAATAAAATGTCACAAAATCCCTCTGAGTGCTTTAAACACAGTCAAATGTCAAAACTTCCTATTAAAGGAATAAATGTGACTGAAAATAATATTATGCTTATTAATGCAAAATATGCAAGAATTATGCTTATGGACACCACAGCAATGACTGCTGTGTTCAGCATTCATATATAAGTAAAATGAATCTTTTTACATAGATATATGGACCTATTTTATTTAGATGAGTGTTTTAGATATTCATTAACCTATTTTTGAAACATCAAGCATTAAACATTTCACAATAATCACAGTGATGAGACCAAAGTGTGACAAACTCATCAATGAAAATGTCAAGCTGACAGTGTTGCCGTCCTTCTCTAAGGCAGGTCACCTCCCAAAATAAAACATGAACAGTCTGCTGCACAGACTGAGAACTGTCCTAATCATACGTAAACCTTTTATCCTCCTTAGAATTTTAGGAAATGGGATTATCTTTTAGCGGAAGATTGATTTTTTGACAAAACAATATAAAGAGCATGTTGTTTCAGGACAGATTAAATTTGTTTTCTCATTATGACACAGATTGACTGGCGGGGTACAGTGCTTCATGCCTGTAATCTCAGCACTCTGGGAGGCAAGGCAGGTGGATTGACTGAGCTCATTAGTTCCAGACTAACCTGAGCCAGAGCGAGACCCCCTCTCTAAAAATAGCTGGGCATTGTGGCAGGCTCCTGTACTCCCAGCAATCTGAGTTGTAGGGGCAAGATAATGGCTTAAGCCCAGGAGTTAAGTTCACTGTGACCTGTGACGCCACTGCACTCTACCAAGGGTGCTAACATGAGACTCTGTCTCGAAAATAAAAATAAAAACCAGATTGACAGCACTCATTCCTGAGTACAAACCATATTTTTTCCTTCACTCTCTATCTAGAGCAGTTGTTCCTAACGGCTCTCACAGATCAGGCTCACCTAGGACTAGGTCCAAATAATTTAAACTTTTACCTTGTCACATCTCCAATGTTAGGGTGTTTACCACCATGACAGGTCCTAAATAAAATGCTACAAATAATGTCCCTTAGTCTCTTATACTGTGTTTTGTGCTTGTAATAGATTATTAGCAATCAGTTACCAAAGTGCAATGATGACTGTTGTGTCCTAGTGAATAGAAGTAGACACAGTGAAGATTTGCACTGAGAACTCTCTGGAATGGACGCTTAGCTGACCCTAGCACCTTCCCATCCCTACAGAGAAAATCACTTGCTGTCCTCACTGCTGTGGGATCCACAGATGGAGGAGAACTCTGGCCACCAGAGAGGAATCACATGAGAGGAAAGAACCTGGCTTCAAGTACAGCCAGGAAAGGGTGTCCACTGGAGCCTGTCACTGCTCTAGACCTGACTCTGACCTATGAGGACTGTGTATTGAGGCCCCACCTCAGTCCCAACAATACAACAGCCCAGCAAGCCAGGGACACATTCACGCTGAGAAGCCCCATAGAGCATGAAGACTCTCTGAGCAAATGGGGAGGACACAGGAGGGGCTGCCAGCCTGGTCCTGAGTCAGGGGGGCAGTGGACAGAGCAGGGCAGGGGACAGGGCTGGCTCTGGGAGACTGGGGTCACCTTGTCACATGATGATGTATCAGCAGGGTCTGGGCACCAGGGGGAGCTGGAGGCCTGTCCCTGAGGGGTCTTGGGGTGAGCAGAGCTGGGATCAGGCACCTGCTGTGCCTGGTGACCTCTACTCAGGGTCACAGCTGTGCCACCTCCCACCCTGGGACCACACAGCCCCGCCCCTGGCAGTCTCAGGCAGAGCCGCCTGATAGGGCCCAGGGTGGGGTCAGAAAGCTGGGGGGTCATTTGCATGGAGGATAGGGTTCCCCTCCTAGGGTATGAAGAGGGGACGGGCAGACGTTGGGGAGCTCTGCCTCAGCTGTGGGCACCCAAGGCAGGACTCAGGACAGTCCCCATCATGGCCTGGTCCCCTCTCCTCCTCACCCTCCTGGCTCACTGCACAGGTGACCAGTCTTGGGGTAGGGGAAGACTTGGGGCCATGGGGAGACACTGGGGCCCTGCTCTCTCCTCTCCAGACCCAGAATCACCATGTCTGTGTCTCTCCCCCTTCCAGGGTCCTGGGCCCAGTCTGTGCTGACTCAGCCACCATCGATGTCTGGATCCCCGCGGGAGACGGTCACCATCTCCTGCTTGGGAAGCAGCAGCAACATCGGGGGTGGGTATAGTGTGCAGTGGTACCAGCAGCCCCAAGGAATGGCCCCTAAACTCATTATCTATGGTAACAGCAATAGACCCTCAGGGGTCCCTGACAGATTCTCTGGCTCCAAGTCTGGCAGCTCAGGCTCCCTGACCATCACGGGGCTCCAGAGTGAAGATGAGGCTGATTATTACTGTCAGTCCTATGACAGCAGCCTGCGTGCTCCCACAGTGCTCCAGGCCCAGGGGGAAGTGAGACAAAAACCCCCTTCTCACCCCTCAAGAGAGTGAACACCCGGCAGCTGCTGCTCAGGCCTGGCCTGTGGCTTCTGCTTCTATTGCTGCTGTTGCTGCCACCATCCTGGACACTGTGGAACCCAAAGTTGCCACCTGGGAGTAGAGACTCTTCCTCTTCTGTCATTCACAGCAATCTATTTCTAGAAAAAGTGTCCCCAAGGAAACAGAAAACCCTCCTCTTTATCACCTTGATATATAGAATCTTTTTCTAAAGAAGTTCAAGGGCTGAGGTGGCAGCTCCAGCTCATCCATCCTCTTCCTGATTCCAGGAGGTCTCAGATCTATGTCACCCTGTGAGAGTTTGCAGCGTCCGTATCTGTTCTTCTAGCCGTCCCCTCTTAATCTCTTCCTACTAAAGGATAACTGATGCACAATCACATGACCATATATAAAGTGTACAGTTAGACACACTTGGATACTTTATGCTCCCTGGAAAATATCCCCACAATCACTATAAACAACCTCACCGCCTCAAGGGCCTCTGGATGCCCCTTTCTGATTCCTCCCCCAATTCCTTCCCTCAGGCCGCCCTAGATGAGCTCTGATCTACTTTCTGTCCCTGCTGCTTTCCATTTCTAGAATGTAGAAATGGACTCCTACGGCAGACACCTTCTGAAGTCAGGATTCTCTCCCTCAGCACACTTCCACTGAGGGTCTTCTGTACCGCTGCCCCGTTGCTGCCAGTCATGTCACCGTCACAGACCCTTTTGCCTCCGTGGGTACTTCCTCTGTTAAACAATTATTGAAAACATATTTCCAAACACAAGTGACAGATACAGATATAATCCAAGCTGGATTGCAGGTGTTTTCCTTCTGTAAATTAGCGTATCTCCTGGGATTCCTGACCATGTTTGGTTCTATAGGTGTGGGGCCCACTGTGCCAAGGGATGTTCGGCCCTGCTTTCATCTTGGTATTTATTTTTTTTGAGACAGAGCCTCAAGCTATTCCCTGGGTAGAGTGCTATGGCATCACAGCTCACAGCAACCTCCAACTCCTGGGCTCAAGCAAGTCTCCTGCCTCCACCTCCCAAGTAGCTGGGACCACAGGTGCCCGCCACAATGCCCGGCTATTTTTGGTTGCAGCCGTCATTGTTGTTTGGCAGGGCCCAGGCTGGATTCAAACCCGCCACCTTAGTTGTATGTGACTGGCACCTTCCCCACTTGAGCCACAGGCGCCGAGCCTCATCTCAGTATCATTCACTTGCCTGTCCTTGGCACAGAAAAATTGTGGGTCTTTTTTTAATTTTAATTAAATAATACATCATCATGATATCAAATTAAAAGTCATGAAAGTCGGCTTAAATTATACCACAAGGAAAAAATAAAAATTTAAAGAAAATGGTAAGAAAGGCCCTCCCAAGGCCGGGCACGGTGGCTCACACCTGCAATCCCAGCACTCTCACAGGCTGAGGTGGGTGGAGTGCTCAAGCTCATGAGTTTGATACCAGCCTGAGCAAGAATGAGATTCCATCTCTAAACAAAGGGGGGGGGAAAGTCAGTTATTGTGACAGGTACCTATAGTCCTAGCTACTCCGGAGGCTGAGGCAAGACAATCTCTTGAGCCCAAAAGTTTGAGGTTGCTATGAGCTGTGAGGCCACAGCACTTGACCAAGGGCAGCAACAAAGTGAAACTGTCTCAAAAAATAAAAAAAAAAAAAGGACCTCCCCATCCTATGTGCTCTCTCCTGACCCTCTGGGTCAGCAGAAGTGACCAATGACACTGATGTTTATTTATCCTCCCAGTGAAGGTTTGTGTGTATAAGCACAAATGTCTCTCCGTGGGTGTGTGCATTCACATGTGTGTTTTTCTTTACACCGTAACCTGGTGCTTTTGTAATCTTTAGTGATTATGTATTAAACCTACTTAGTGAGTCTCCTGATTATTCTGGACAAGCACTGTATTCTTAGAAGTCCAAAGAATCCCTAACAAAGATTAAAAAGAAAGGCTTCAAAAAGGAAGAAGGATGGAAAAATTAAATATCAAGAAGTAATGAAATAAAATGACAGATGTGAGAGAAGGATGGACCCCACTTCAGATGTAATTAATTAATAGAAATTTATTGATAATTTGATACACCTTCAGGTGAACCTGCTGGGGGCTATTGTAGTGGGCCAACAAGCAGCCTTGAATAGCGGGGGAGAAGCCTTTTTATACTATTATTCTGCATAATTATGCATGCTCAGCAAGTTAGCGCAATACAGAAGCCAATCATAGCAGTTAGCCCAGTTCAATACAGCTCAGGGGTCACAAGGTAAGGGTACATCATAAGGGCCCACTCAATTCAGGGTGGGGGTACATGTTCAAAAATCACAAGATACATCACAAACACATTACTTCATGATCTTAAGATGAGGGTCACATAGTTCAGGGGTACAAAACAAGTCTTGGGTAACTTGGGACCTTTTCATCAAGGGCTCAACTCCTCCCTTTGCCCAACCCCTCCCTGCATACTTCCTTAATTTCAGGCTGTTTCTTTACCCTTTGGGGGGGCTGGGACTAAAGAGCTGAGGAGAGGTTCCCTTTTCAAGGGTAGGAGGCTTGTTCCCCACTGGTCTTAGGGAGGGGGTCAAGGGCTGGGGGCTTGGTTATGACAGTAAAATAAAGAAAACAAACTTTGGTCATTTCCTTTTTGGAATTGTATTTATTAGAATTAGATGACAAGGAAGAAAATTACCTAGGGGTAATAAAGGAGAAGACATAAAATATTAGTGCTCTGAGTGTAAGTTGACCAGCTAAGTGAGGCCCTAGGGACTTTCCTGGAAGAAGCTCTCTTGAATTTAACATTTTAAACTTCTAGGCATCTAAGCCAGGCATGGTGGCTCAGCGTGTAATCCTAGCTCTCTGGGAGCCTGAGGCAGGTAGCTCACCTGAGCTCAAGAGTTCAAGACCAGACTGAGCCAAAAGTGAGACCCGGTGACTATTAAACATAGAAAAACTAGGTGGGCATTATGGTGGGCTCCTGTAGCCCCAGCTACATGGAGGGTGAGGCAAGAGGATCACTCTAGCCCAAGAGTTTGAGTTTGCTGTGAGCTATGATGCCGCTGAACTCTACTGAGAGTGACATAGTGAGACTCTGTCTCAAAAAAAAAAAAAAAGCACATTACAGGTGTAAGTCTCTGAGCCCAGCCTAATACCTAATAGAGAAAATTTCAAAAATAAAGTGAAAGTTAAGGACAATAAAATTCACTGAAAATTCAGACTGGATCATCAAAGACAAAGCAATGTTGACCAAACACAGGTGGCAAGCACTTGTTTCTACATGATAGTGAATAAAACATCACAAAATCCCTGCCTTGTGCTTTAAACACAGTCGAATGTCAAAACTTCCTGTTAAAAGAATAAATGTGACTGAAAATCATGTTATGCTTCTGAATGCAAGTATTATGCTTATGGACACAACAGCAGTGACAGTTCTGGTCAACATTCATCATAAGGAAAGTGTATCTTTTTATGAAGTTATATGGACCTATTTTATTTAGGTGCGTGCTTTAGATAGTCATTAATTTCTCTTTTTTTTTTCACTTTTTTGCTGGGGCTGGGTTTGAACCTGCCACCTTCGGTATGTGGGGCTGGCGCCCCACTCCTTTGAGCTACAGGCACTGCCCTTCATTAACCTCTTTAAAACATCATGCATTAAAACTTTCACTATAATCACAGTGATGAGACCAAAGTGTGACAAACTCATCAACAAAATGTCAAGCTGACAGTGCTGCTGTCCTTCTCTAGGGCAGGTGACCTCCCAGAGTAAAACCTGGTAACGGTCTGCTGCATAGACTGAAAGCGCTGTCCTAATCATACACGAACATTTGTTCCTTCTTAAAAGTTTAGAAAATGGAGTTATCTGTTTGCAGAAGATGGATTTTTTGACAAAATAATATAAAGAACAGGTTTTTTCAGGACAGAGATTAAATTTTTTTTCTCATTATGACACAGAATGACAGGCCAGATATGGTGGCTCACACCTGTAATCCCAGCACTCTGGGAGGCCAAGGCCAGTGGATTCACTGAGCTCTTAAGTTCAAGACCACCCTGAGCCAGAGGGAGACCTCGTCTCTAAAAATAGCCATGCGTTGTGCTGGCTTCTGTACTCCCAGCTACTTGGGAGGGACAGAGGCAGGAGAATCGCTTAAGCCCAGGAGTCGAGGTTGCTGTGAGCTATGACGCTACCACACCCTACTGGGAGCAATAAAGGCACAAAAAACACCTGTGGGTGGGGGACAGATGGACAGCACTCATTCCTGAGTACAAACCGTATTTTTCCCTTCACTCTCTATCTAGAGCTGTTGCCTAATGGCTCACACTGATCAGGCTCCTCTGGGACCAGGTCCAAATAATTTAAACTATTACCTTGTTACATCTCCAAAGTTAGGGTCTTTACCACCATGACTGGTCCTAAATAAAATGCTACAAATAATGTCACTTAGTCTCTTACACTGTGTTCTGTGCTTGTAACAGATTACTAGCAATCAGTTACCAAAGTGCAACGATGACTGTTGTGTTCCAGTGAATGGAAGTAGACACAGTAAAGATTTCCACTGAGAACTCTCTGGAATGGACTCTTAGCTGCCCCAGCATCTTCCCATCCCTACAGAGAAGATCACTCGCTGTCCTCCCTGCTGTGGGATCCACAGATGGAGGAGAACTCTGGCCACCAGAGAGGAATCACATGAGAGGAAAGAACCTGGCTTCGAGTGCGGCCACGGAAGGGTGTCCACTGGAGCCTGTCACTGCTCTGCACCTGACTCTACCTATGAGGACTCTGTATTGAGACCCCACCTCAGTCCCGACAAAACAACAGCCCAACAAGCCAGGGACAGACTCACCCTGAGGAGCCCCGTAGAGCATGAGGACTCTCTGAGCAAATGGGGAGGACACAGGAGGGGCTGCCAGCCTGGTCCTGAGTCAGGGGGGCAGTGGACAGAGCAGTGCCCGGACAAGGCTGACTCCGGGAGGCTGTGATCACTTTGTCAATGATGGTGTATCAGCAGGGTCT